GGATGTACACACATATTTCAGTTGAAATTATATCATAACACCATAGTATTAGTAAGTATTGTGTCACTTTAAGTTTAAAATCTAAATGTAAAGATTATAGTAATAACCTGATCTTGGTCGCTTAGTATAATTTCTACATTTATATCACAGTGTACTGGTGGTCTTCCTGATCCTCGTTGTCCAGTACGCTTCATTAACAACCTTTCTGCATTCTGTAATAAAATCATTTACTTAATGCATATTTAATARTTCAAAACAATAACATATTTATTATGTTTATTACTTGTAATATTTTCTGATGCGTTAGAATCAATTGATATTTTATTCTATCTTCAGTACCCTAAAATAAACAGTATAGATATATTTATTGTAAATACATTTACAGATTATATATGTTCAAATATTATATTGTGTAACTAAAATTAAAATAATAGTTAATTTCAAAAACATTGAAGTTTAGGTATAATATGATTTTATTTTGATGGATTTGGTCGAGGTACATTTATTAATTGTATAAAAGATAARACATAAAAAAGAAAATTACYGATTAGTGATTAGTAGCAAGAATATTAATATACATATTCTATATTATTATAGYATAGTTTATAAGCAGAATATTATAAGAAAGATGATGGCTGAGAAATAATCCATTGTATATTATGACATTCATAGGTAAGAAAACAGACAGAAGTTTGCCAAATAGTAGTCCATAAAAAATTTAAAAAAGCACTTTCATATTTCAGAATGATCTTTAAGTTGAAATATAAGTTAGCACACAGGTGTGTTTAGAAAAGTCTTATGGGGCAGAGGCACAAACAAAAATTCAAATTGTACCTAGTTTATAAGCTATAAACTATGTATAATACTATATAACATAAGTTATAACTCATATTTTCCATCCAAAATAATGTCATAATTTAGAGCCAAATAACCAAAATACATGAGTTTGATAGAAATATAACATTTAATTAGTGAAATTCTAAGTAATAAAAAAGGATAAAATACAGTGAATGGGGGTAGAACACAGGCTCCATGTCGCTCTCCTTAAATATGCTCTTGTGTAAGTATATACTATATAATATTAATGTGATTTTAAGTTATATGAAGTTTGAATTTTTACTAAGTTTTGGTTTTATTACATAATAGTTGTAAAATAACAAAAAACACTTAAGTAATTACTTGGACAGGTAAGAAGGTAATGCAGAAATATTTTATCTTTAAAATTAACGTAAGTTTATATTACTATTAAGTGTTAAAATTAACATAGAAAATGTAAAGAATTTCTAAAGGAGTTATTTTATATTACCATTTTACCAAACTATTGAATACTCTGGCCCACAAGAAAAGTAAACCATGTGTCCAATTTCAAGCACCCCTACCTATTTTACATATTATTGGTAACTTCAGAAGTCAGTCTTTAACTATCGGAAATGCTTACGCTGTGTCCTAAATGAATCCAGCAAAAAACAAATAGCTTGTATTTCGCATCAGATGTACTGCAYTGTGGCACAACAGCATGATTAGAATTTGTTCGCGCAAGCCACACTCGCCAGATAAGTTAGTGTTTATAACACGCTACCAACTGTCAACATCGAAACATCACTGCCATCATTATACATGTGCAAAAGAGTTTATTTCTCTTGCGGGCCGGAGTATAATATAAAAATTCTTAGTATACAACACTAATGGAATGCCAAAAAATGATATAAATCTAAGGAGATGTAAATTTAAAAGAAGAATACTAAGTTAGAGTTCTTTTGAGATTAAAGTTGATGATATTCTAAAAAATGGTTTTGTATGGATATTTGACTTACTATTTTAGGTGTGAATTCTGGATCAACACATAAAAAAGAACACAGGTTATTAATTATGGTAGTGTTAGGGCATGAAGAACGATTTATACATAAATCCATCAAAATCGCCAAATGATCAGCTGACCAGCGCTAAAATATAATGTTATAAAAAATTAATTAATATTTAATCAAAAATTATAAATATTTATTATTACTTGTAACATTTCATTTGATTCTTTTTTTATAGATTCCATTAATGGTTTAACAATAGGTCGTATTTTTTCGGGTAAACATTGAAGCATTGTTAACGCTCCCGCTAATGATGCTTTAGTCCTAAATTGAGAAGTAACATAAATCAATAATTATGATAACTTATAAATTATGTTTAAAAAATTCATTAATTACGATGTAGTTAGAGAAATGAGATCAGAATTGATATGTTTATGGGCCTGATTCAATGAAAGACGCCTATCTTCAAGTTGTTCAAATATTTTTGGTTTGAGTTTTTGAGATGAAATCAATATTCCAGTTTCTGGTCCAGTAAGATGCTCAATGTGCTCCAAAGTTACAATCTTAAATTCAATTTTTGTGAATTTGAATTATATCTTTTTATAATTTAATAATTTAACACATCAACATTTTTTTTTWWAATTTACTTGGTTAAATTGTTGTGCAGTAGTTAGTTTATAATGTTTCAATGATGAAAGAAAATCATGAGCATCTTGTATAAGTTTTGTTATTGAGAATGACATTTCATCATAATAAATCATACGATTCATACAGTCTGATAATTTTTCAGATAATATTTTTGAAGCTGAATTATCTAATTTTTGTAATTTACACCATTCTGATATTACCATAGAAGTCATCTTTTGTTGCATAGCTACATTAGATTCCAAATTACTGATTAATAATTTTGTATAGCATGTTACAGGTGATTCATCTTCATTTGTATAACAAATATTAGGCGCAGGTTTTATAATATAACAAGATAATAAACCTAAAAATCAAATTTACATTTTACTTTAATACTTAATAGTATTTTCATCAAATTTATTCATTATCAGAAAACATACCCAACATTTCTGCACCTAAATGTCTTGCTCTAATTGCATTTTTTTCTCTTTGGTCAGCAGGGATTGCCTCACTCCCACCGATGTAATATTTGATATCAATACTTGCTTCATTTGGCAGACTAGATACATTATCTACCTTGAATATAAAACCCAGTTTAAAATAAGAATATTTATTATATTMAAAAAAAAGCATTTTTAGGTACATATAGGGATACTCAATTATTACTTTATTAGGTCCAGTTGGAATATGTTGAATAATACTAGATGAATCATAAGGTATTTTATCTGATTGCATGGTCATTGCCAACCACAATCCTATGTATGGACAAGCAGCATTTAAAAGAGCTGTTAGGCTACTATTGACAATTAAATTAGCCCAAACCTAGATTAGAAATTATTTGAGCAATAATTAAAAAATTATTCAAATACTTTAATAATTTACGGAAAACATACTTTTTTTATAATTTGTTGTATTTCTTCGTCTGGTTCAGCCATTGCTCTCTGAAAAATATGTCTCATAGCATCTTGAAGTAATTTTATATCTTCAATATTATCAGTATACGATAATTGTGGAGTTGAAGTTAATGTCATTAAAGACTTCATAGTAGCTAAACGTACTTGAGTTGCATTATGTGACAAAAATGACCATAGTCGAGGTAGAACATGAAGAATTGGTTCATTTCTAAATGGCTAACTCTTAATTTTTTATTTTACAGATGATAAAAAACAATTACTGAACTTACGTTAATAGTTTTCCAGATGGAAGGCTAAACAATGCAGCTAATAAAGTCATAAAGTTATAACAAGATGCTGTTAAATCATCTTGTACAGCCAACATTTGCCACAAAATGGATATAACATCTGATACCCATTTTTCATCACATTTAATCATACAATCAACTATTGGCAATAAAGCAGATGCAGCTACAGCACTAACATCATCTACAGTGTCCATAAGAGCTTTAGATATAAATGGAAATGATAATTGTAATATTTTTTCAATTATATCCTAAAAAAAGAAAATGTTAAATAAATAATGATCTAATATAAATAAATTAACTAATTGTGTGTACCTATATTAGTTTATCTTTAAAAATAAGAATGCTAAGGATTGAAGCCAGGTATCAACAATGTACAATTCATAGTTCATATTCATTTCGTTCTATATATACAGAGTTATAATTTAAGCATGCTAATGTTTTTCAAATGAGGACCTWAATGTTTTAGCGGGATTCCTCACAAGGGTTTTTAGGAGGAAAATACATCTATAGATAGATGTTCCAACCAACTGACTTGAATCACACTCTGATAATAATTTTATTTTGGTGTTAAGTTAACTTTCGATTCTTTAAGCCACATTTTAAGTTGTTATTTTTAAAGAAAAAAAAAGAAATAGTTTTTAAAATTTTTCATTATAATTTTGACTCAAAAGAATTTAAAGTGGATTGCATAGTTAATTCAAATATTATTTCAAATTTATTATCGGAAAAATATAAATATAACTAGCTGACCCCCTGCACTTCGTAGCCTGATAAAAATACCCACTTTATAAAATTAAAAATGTATAGTTAATTTGTTGTTTATACCTGGCTAGTCACGATCAAAACKTCAGGTGGATTTACCCTGTCTTAATCTCCATAAAAAWTTTTTAACACAGTMATTTAAAATACAGGACTAAAAATATATTCAATCATAATATTTTATTTTTAGCTTTGTAAAGGTGAAACAATTTTTTAAATTGGTACCTAATAAATTGCTAATTTCTAAATCTTCCATACTAAATTGTATAACGAATAACAACCATATAATATTCAAAAATATAATCAATATTATTAATATTTCTTTAAAAAATCTTAAATTTGCAATAAAAAAATTAAGGGCAACTTATCAAGATTAAATATAGCCTACAGATTTATGGGATTGTATAACTTTCTGATGGTAAAAAATTTTTAAATCACTTGAATAGTTTCAGAAATTGTACTGATCAGATGGACAATTTTTCTTCTATATATTATATAACYCTATTAACCCCTGTGTAAGGGCCAAATTTTGAAAAATCCAGTCTTAAAGGGTTTTCGCATTATGAAATGAACTTACTGACACAATTTCATACTCATATCTTCAGTGGTTCCGGCTAGGTGATAATGAATCACCCAGGGCAAGTTGTTATATATATATATATATATATATATATATAAATAAATAAATAGATAATATTATATTGCATGTTCAAGGGTTACATAATAGCTTTGAAAAATTGACTATAAATATATATATATATATATAAATAAATAAATAGATAATATTATATTGCATGTTCAAGGGTTACATAATAGCTTTGAAAAATTGACTATAATGCAATTAAAAAACTATCTCATTTTATTTTATTTTATTATTTCATTGATCTTGTGTATCACAAATTAAAAGAATTTAAATTCTATATATGGTGTGATTTAAATATACAAATAAATATGTAAAATTAAATATATATTGTATGAAACACGCAAACACATTTGACTGTCTTTTTGTTTGATAGAGAATTCAAAACGAATAAACATATTATAAAATAGTTATTACTATTGGACATAATTTTATACCTGTATTTGATCAAAACAATTCAAATAATAAATATTAAATAACTGTGAATCTTACATTTGATAGAGCACAATAAGCRCTAAATCAACAGGCATTTWAATTGAAACGGACAGGTGTTAGGTAGTACCAAAGATACAATAGTATCTTGTATCATGTACCTAATTTTAAAGTATAACATATCATTTTGTCAATATAAACAAGACAAGCAGTTGCTTCTCAGTTTTTAAATAAAATTTGAGGGTGCTCAATATGGAAGTGAAGAATATTTACTAAATTACAATTATAGCAGGCAAATAGTAATAGTATTGCTAATAAACAATAATACTTTTATTTATTATAAATTATTGGTAGGAGGGTGGGTGATGAGTAAATTTTAGGTAGCTCATGGGTTATTTTAGATTTGTTTCATCACTATATCTGTATTTACTATCTACCCTTAGTCATACAGCTGAAAACAAAACTGGCAATTTTATTCTCATAAAATATTACAAATCTGATACTTAGATATGATTGTAATCATGTAGGTCTTTCTATATGAAATACAAAATAAAATAAAAGTAACATCATAAATCATGAAACATGAAGTGTTTTGACTTATTGTGTTATTTGAAATCTAAAATATAAGTCTTAATGTACAGGCAGTATAGTCTATCAGCGTTTATAGTTCTTAAAATTCAATGGGAAATATAAAATATTGATCGTCATGTATCTTTTTTACATTACAATGTATGTTCTATTTAGATACACTAAATGCATGTATCAACATATGTATCATGATACCTTTTTTTATTATCATTTTCAACTCTGGTCACAGGTAATGCCTTTCGGGATTAGCTAGTATTATACTAATATACTACTAAAATAAATTACAATCAATATTTAATAACTTACTTTTCTAACAACTAATAAATACTTCAGTCCTAATAATCCACCGTGTCTGGTTGTCCAATCACTATGTTGAATAAGTTGTATAAGTACATGAATTATGTTTAAAACATTTTCTTCAGACATTAATTTAACAACAAAACCTATAATTAACACAAGTATAATATTTTATTTAGTGTAACTTTTTCAAGTGCTTAGTATAAATTTTTAAATTAAATACCTAAAGCTTGAGCACATGTTTCTCTAACAGGTGCAACAACTTGATCACCAAGAAAATCTCCAAAATGGTCTAACGCAAGAACACATAATAATCTTAGTCCCACATCTTCTAACCAGGCTTGATGATGGTTTTCCAGCTGACAATAAATAATACATTCAACATTATAATAATGTAAGCGCTAACATAGGTTATTAATGATTATACATACTCATATTATTGTATATATKTAATATATAAGACACTAATTGAACATACTTGGTCTGAAGGCAAATTACAAGCTTTTCCAGCACCTCGACCATGATGTTTAATAATTTCACGAATAGCTGTTGCAGCACCATGCCGTATTTCCCATTTAGTATTGAATAAGTCTTTAAGTAAAGTATTAACAAAATCTTTAAAAGGCCAGTCATTTTCAACCTTTATCAGAAGCAAATAAAAATATTACTAGTTTTATGCCAAGGAATATATTTATTTTTACAATGGATATTTGTAATTAAAGAATATATTGCACAGCATAGTATAGCTACACAAAGACAATGATTAATTAATAATTAATATGTAGAAAAATTTGATTTTCTTTTTTAAATTAGGATTTAAGTAAATAAATAAATAAATTCAATATAACAGGTATAACTTAAACTATGAATCATTAATAAAAGTTTAAATAAAAATGTAAAATTTTATAATATATTATAATATAAAATAATTTCATGAA